CTTTTGAACAATTTAATATTAGGCTATCTGAAATGAAGGATTGGCACTATCGCCTGAAAAGTGGCACAATGGCTACACTAAATCCTTTAGGCATTTCGCCTTTATACTGGCATTTAAAGCCACATTAAAAATCGCGACGTTATAAAAAGATCAACAGATGTAAATTTACTCTTGATAGGATACTCAAGGTCATTAACTAGAGTAACTATAATATATATAATAACTTTTCAATATTACTTTCTGAGTCTTTTATATTATTACTTGATGACTTTGTTACTAATCTTTACAATTATTTTACTTTGAAATATTTCTGTTATGAAATTCGGACCTGACAATGCTCGTAATTGTTTTTGTTAAAAAATGTTTAGCTAACAATATTTGCTTGAACTTAACCTTGATGGTTACGTGAAGTCAACAAAATAATAGTGGTGTAAATAATAATCGAACTGCCCGTTGTTACAAAAATGTTACCCAAGTACAACCAAAAATCCTAATACTTAAAAGATATTCAATTTGACAAAATATTATTATTTATATTTTAATTGACAAACAAAATCTTAAAAAAAATTGAAGACTATGATGTTCTGGTCTGGATGTGTAGTTTTGCCAAAAGAAGGATTGGTTTTTCTTACTTGGGGAGTGAGCCTTAATCGAGAAGTCTGCGTCGATTTGGGGAGAGTATGTCCTTGTCCCTCTGCGTAGAGTCGCCTTTCTCACGGTGTTATTTGGTATGCCGCCACCTTTAATGCCTCTGGTACTTCGTGCCAGTCCTGATCCTGCTGGTTTTCAGCTGTTGCTGCAGCGCCGGATGCAAAATTTCTGCTACTCAGCTTCTTGCTCGACACTCACAGCACACTCAACACTGCACTTCACCACGAGGTAAAACCACCGCTTGACACCATGAAATGTTATGAGTTGTTGTTGTGGGGTTGATTGGATTGGGTTGGATTCCAAATGTAGACTGATTCACTCTCCAATGGGGTGCTAGATCCTTCCAACCTTTTCTTGGTGTCGTGGGCAGAGCTTATAGTTATAATAGAAAATAACAACACTGGTATGAGTCTCCTCAGAACCGTGAGCACTTTATATTGGTATAGGCTGAAAGATGTCTTTACGCAAAGTAGAATACAAATACTGAATCTAATTTTGACTATAATTTTATTTAATCTTTAATAACTTCACATCACAAACTAGCATAGATTCGTGCTAAGACATACTCTCTAATCTTTCCTAAAACATCACTAGCTAGAGTCTCGACTAAGACATCACTAGTTAATACAAATAATTCTGACTCTATATATTATGCATTGTACGTGTCAATTCTAGGAATGGCGTCTTCCGCGTTCATGTAAAGATCTTGCACTTTGATCAACATTGAACAATGAATTCATATTTTTATTAAAAGCACGTATGATCATGTTATTACAGAACAATATGTAGAGCAGGGCGAGGCACAAAGGTCCAATTTGACTTTGAGCAAGTATGAACCATAACAATTATAACACAACAAATAAGACATATCAAACGAACAATTATCTGACTACGTTCAGTAAACTGACTTCTACTTCATCATTGTAGAAATGTGGTTTTTTGATGTCTTCCAAAAATTTGTTATCTAGACCTTTTTATCCTATATGCGGGGTAACTTGTAACGGGCAGGTGGCAAAAGGTTTAAAGCCTTATTATAATTTTAAAGGTATTTTACAAAATAATTTCATTTTTAACTAATGCTAAAACTACCAACGGAAGAAAATACTTTTATTATGGATTTTCAAAGATTACCGTTTATCTCCCCCATTTCAAAGATTATCGTTTTCAAATCAAGTTTGTAGCTGGCTATACATCTTTTTTCCTCTACTTTCAAATATTGTTGTTAAACAATGCTTAACTTTACTGATTTTTGGCACATCGGTGGTGGACCTTTTTAATCCCGGACCTTCATATATTAATATCTATTCTGCGATAAATTCTGGGAAATTATAATTGAAAAAATGTTATTCGACAAAATGTCCATTTGATCGATACCAAATTTAGGTTCTGAATTTAAATAAGATAAATAAAAAATAATATAACCTAGAAAATGTTTTATAAATACCAATGAGTATATAATTATACAAATGAGATCTTTCAGAGCACCGTGTTTGAGAAAAATATGCAAAAAAGTGCATTTTCATATTAACATATCAAAAAAGTTTATATTTTGAGTCTCTAGTAACACTTGCGGCCCGTTTACTAACGTTTTTGTATATAAATAAAACTACAAACAAAACTACTTACTACAAATTTATCATAAATAAATAATATTCGGGTAAAACATTCTATTAAACGTAATTGAACATCATCTGTCAAAAGCGTTTGACATTTCACGAAATTGCCACCGTCCATTGTTTTATTTAAATTACGCTTCTACAAAAATTTTCAAATTAAAAATGTAAAGTTTCTACGCGGATTTGAAATAATTTCTCACCTTTTGGACTTTCTCTGGATTGGCACGAATTTTTCAAGACTAAGACCGGCCAAATCGATTCAGCCGTTTTCGAGTTTTATTCGGACATTTGAAAGAGAGCTCCATTTTTATATATAAGATATATATATATATATATATATATATATATATATATATACATATATTTATTTATATATTAAATGTTAAATATGAACAACACAACACTCAGATTTTTAACAGACTTTATTTGGAAATTACAGACGTTCCTATACCATGGTGCCTCCATCTTCAGTGTAATTCAAAAACAGTTACTTATATACTACACGCTCTTTAATATTTTATTTATATTATATTTAATTTTTGATAGTACAAAAAACACCAACTATCACTGCAAAGCTTGACACAGTACTAAAACATGTGAAATATTTTAAACAAATCTTAAGCATCGAGAAGAAACAAATGGAGTGCGCGATCGCATACTAAAATCAACAAATGTGAAAACAGATAAATTTATTGAAGAGAATGAGATAAATGGAAAAAATATATTATAAATTATTAATGATGTTTATATGAGAGTCGTGTTAAATATTTGTGTTCTCAGATTTACGCTATTGTTAGTCCGAACTATTAACATTGATCGTGCCATGCTCCGTTTAAACAAGTCTTTTTCGTAGAATAAGATTTGGGTATTAATTATATATATATAATGAAAATTAAATGAAATTATATTATATATATATATATATATATATAATATAATTTCATTTTATTACTCTAGTTTCTCTCTTTAATGTGATAAGTATTGTTTTGTTATTTCTTAGTTTTGATCTTCTATTTATAGCTTCTTTACAAAATTATAATTCCTATAGTTATCTAGTTTATATAATTTTATCAATTTTTACCTTATGATATCAAATTGTATGTCGAAACGTTTGGATTTAGAGTTTATTTTATAAATATTTGTTATTTCTGTGTTTGATGTATCGCCCTTAGATGACTTACTCATATATATATACATATATATATATATATATATATATATATATATATATATCATAGTCAAAAACTAGACTAGACTAGTAAACATATACAAATCATAGTGTCTAAAATAGAAAATTTGATATCCATAGTGTGAGGATATGGTAATGTGCACTAAACTTGAATTATAACAATATTTCACTAACACAATAATACTAACATAACAAGAAACTATTTTATAAATCTGGACTTTGACTTGTCAACATTAGCACAATGACTAACCCTTTTAACATTGAACTTTTTAGAAATCTGGTCTATCAAATTAACAATATAGACTTTTTCAACATAATTGTACTATAGTTTGAAAAAAAATTATACAAGGCAATTCTGCGACGGATCGTTCTTAACCATTTTTAATGATAGAACTATAAATAAAAAGCAAAATGTTTAATATTTATATTACATAGTGTAGTGCATTACCATAACGTCGTACCATTTTATTTATTGCTAAATTTTCTGTTGATACAATACAACCAAACATATAATACACAAAATAAATATAGAAAATGACAATATTAAGTGAATATGTTTCGTTTTTAATTTTAAACTGAAAAACCTCAAAATAAATGAAAACAAATAACTAAAAATATTCATTTATACTATATGTTTCAACACGGATTGTGTGTCATTATTCAGCAACGGTTTTTCAGTTTAAAATAAAAACAAAACATGTTCACTTAATATTGTTATTTTTTATATTTATTTTATGTATTGTATGTTTGGTTTGTTTTCTATATGTAATTATCAAAAAAATGTTTTTTTCCCGGTGTGATACTGATTAACAAAATTTGCTGAATTATGACACACAATCCGTGTCGAAACGTATATTATAAATAGTTTAATTTATTTGTTTTCTTTTATTTTGACGATTCACTAAAAATCAATATTCAAGATATGTCTCAACATCGAACAAAAAAATCGAATTATTTTATATATATACATATATATATATATATATATATATATATATATATATATGTATATATATATATATATATGTTAAAGAAGTTAGTTTTGATGTTGAGAAATATGAGTAAGTTCTTCAAGGGCATACATCAAATAAAAGGCAAAGATTTAGAAGTTAATCTTTAATTTTTCCAAACGTTTCGAATCAAGGCTGATTACAGCCTCAGGCTCGGTCTCATAAACTACGTTCTCTGTGCAAAATATATTATATATTTCACAAATATTTTGCTATGCTCTGTTCAACAAAATAATATAAAAAACAAGTTAGTGCATATATGATAGTGCAAAATTATGTTCCTTGCGCTAGCTACTGATGTAAGACCATATTTATATCCACTGATGATGACATAAAATACTATGTCAAAACGTTTGGAAAAATTAAAGATTAACTTCTAAATCTTTGCCTTTTATTTGATGTATGCCCTTGAAGAACTTACTCATATATATATATATATATATATATATATATATATATAAGTTAATTTAAATATATGAGAAAAGGTGCATCAGGCTTTTTTTATTTAATAGTGTTTTCCAAATTCAAGGCTCTTTTTAATATAAATGTCCTTACTTGAAAATAATTTAATACTGGTAAGGCATTTTGCAATGCCAAATATTAGTAGTAAAACCAACACTATTGTTTGCATTATAACATAATGAGATATGGAAGTTCCTATATCAAGCCATGATCCTTCATTTTGCACCAAAAAGAGAAAGTGAAATCCCATGATATTGCTGAAAATTAACACTCCAAGAAATAACTTTTTGGCAGTAACCTGAAAATTATAAAAGATTATTATTTATTATATCAAAATACTTATTAAAATGTTAAAGTTTTATTTATAGGCTAATGTTGCAAATTTTGGAATTAAAAAAATTATCAAAAAATGCAAAAAAAAGTTATATAATCTTATCTGGAGCTTGATCATTTATTACCTTTTTTATAACATTAGTTGCATGCCAGTAACAGGTAATCATAAGAAAAGGAATTAGGGTCTTCAAGATAATTAAACCTCCCATTAAAAATGGCGAAAATGTAGCAACAAAACAGCGTACCCAACTTGGATCAAAAGAACTTAGAGAAGCTACATTTCCAGTTCCAAAGAAACACACAATTATATAAAATAACTATTTCATTCAATTAAAGAAAGTACTGGAAACATGATAGATTATTTAAAAAATGAATAATAAAAACAGCAAGGATACAAATAAGTAGCATCTACGGAAATCATCATTATTTATGTTTGCATTGGACAGGGCAACATCATCAAATCTCATCTTGTCAACCTGTCAACATAAACATTAGGGCAGTTTTAACAGTAAACAATTTCATATTATCTTTCGATATAAATAAAATAAAATTACATTTGCAGACGGTTTTGATATAAAACATTCCAACTTCAACCAAGCCTCGAGATGTGAAAATAATGTCAACTAAAATATTGGTTCATGACCGACTGACAGAAGTATGAATGGCACAGCAAGACCTCTTCCAATGTGTTTTAATCTCAATGTTATTTGTAATGATGCGACAAGAATAAATAATGGAGAAACCACTGAAAAAAGATGGTAAACATTAAACAATAAACAGTAAAGAAGTAATGTAAAGAATAATCCTTTACTTATGAGGTCAAAATATGCACAAAAATCCTTATTTCTTAGAAATGCATTTTTATCATAAACCTCATATTACATATAAAATCTTTTGAAGTGCTATAATAAATAGTTACAATTTTATTAGATTAAATAAATAAAGAATTAATTTTATACCTAATAAAATCCATGACACTATCATATTTTTCAAAGGCAAGCCCAATCTCTCTTTAAAATTATTTCTTGTTGAAACTACTACCAACATTGACATTAACAAAAATAATATTTGAATCATTGATGTTATATCCAATGATCTTTTAAATTGGAGTATAGATAAGATAATCCATAGCAAACCACCTAAAAATCTTTTCAAACAATTAAATTAAAAAACATTATATTAATTATTCTTGCTAAATTTATATTTATCACTTACATTAATGAAGTATTGCTGCCATCATCACCTTTTTCAATGGGCATTGCAGGAAAAATTGCTAGCATTAAAGAACTCAATATCCAATGAAATTTAACCAATTTATCAGATTGGTTAAGATTCATAAACCCCCACAAACAAAGAAAAACTATGCAAATACTTAATAAATATCTGTAGAAAAATGATAACACCTAGTGAGAGGAAAAAGCAGTTTAATATTTACCTAAAATTACCTAAGTTCAAAATATTCTTATGAAGAATATCTTATGAAAGTTTCATAATCTTTCCAAATATTTCAAGTTGTATGTAATAATTTAAATATGCTAATGTTAATAATGTTACCATAATTTCAGTTCCAATAATATATGCAGCAGAAACGCCAATAGCCTTGAGAACAAAAAAAACATTTTTGGATTTCATGTCACACGAAATAGGCCTGAGTTTTCGACATACTGCCCACCATAACATAAATGGATGACCACAATATATATACATAATAGCAGGAAGAGACTGTTCTACAATTCAAATATAAATAAATTAACAATATTAAAATAATCATTAAAACAGATCTATAGTCACAATAAGTGTATTGTTAATACTCCAAAGTGAGTATGTTCCTGATATGCAACATTTACATATTCTTGTATAACATGAATTTTATATTGATGCAGTAAATATTCAATTATAAAATAAAATCTTACTGAAAATAATAAACATAACAGTTATGATAGCACATCCATAACCAATGTCAAATATTCCATAGTACGGATGAAATGATTTTCTTCTTTCATTAGTAGAGAATATATTGATAAGCAGTAATATAATCCAACTTATAAAACTCAATGATATACACGAGAGTAAAAGAACTTGGTAATATGTGTGATAATATTCTAGCCCCACAGTGCTTTTTACCATAAGTATTTTACTTATTTTAATCTAAAATTCGAATAATTTAAATTTAGTATTTTTTCATAATATATACAAAAATGATTTTATATAAAGCTTATATATATATATATATTTAATTTGAGTTAAAAAGTCGGGCGTAACATCAATAAAAATAGATTTATTGATGTTACGCCCGACTTTTTAACTCAAATAAAACACATATATCAACATCAAATTCAAAACTATTCAAATATATATACATATATATATATATATATATATATATATATATATATATATATATGAGTGAGTTCTTGAGGGCGATACATCAAACAAAGAAAAGGCAAAGATTTAAAAAATAATCTTTAATTCCAAACGTTTCGACATTCAATTTAATGTCATCATCAGTGGATCTAAAAACAGTATGAAAATTAGTATATCTAGGTAATTATAATATATGTGGATTGGTATAGTAACTATAAAATAAGAGAAAAATTAACAAACAGCAACACTTAACAACAAACAAAATATAAAAGATAGGAAAGGTAATAGAGACTAGAATTAAATAAATAATTAAAAAAGAAAAAGAATATAGGCAAAAATATATAAGTACACTCATATAAACCTACACATATACATATACAAATACAAAAATATATACCTATATATGTACACATATACATGTACGACTATACATATATAAATATACGCATATACATATATGCAACGTGCATGCATATTCACAACGACGTACATGTCCATGTATGACACATACCTATCTATGTAACTATAGCTATACACGTATACATATATATATATACGCATAAACATGTACATATACATATATACATATATATATATATATATATATATATATATATATATATACATATATGTATATATACACATACACACACAATTCATACATATATACGTACATATGTACATAAATGCTCACATATATATACATATACATACATACATATATACACATATACAAATACATGTATACACATATACATATGTACATACATACAAACATACATGTAAATAAATAATATACATATATATACATAAATACATACAAATACGTATATATATATATATATATATATATATATATATATTATATATAAACATACATATATGTAAACTCGTATATATGTAAAGCAAACAAAATATTTATGAAGATGGATAATACATATAAAATATAAGTGGACTTACATTACGTTGGTAGGTTATATCTAGAGAAGTGTACACAACACTAGAGATTGGCACTAACATTTATACAACTAACTTGTCAACACCATGCATTTTTTATAATTTTTTGTATGATGTAAACAGAAAAATGAAAGTTTTTTTTGAACATAAATGTAAGTAAAATCATGTAATTTCTGCCACGACTTCTGTACTTTGTGAGTACCGAGGCTTGTGTGAGCGAAACACGTGTTTTGAAAGATTTTTAAGGGTCATTCAAGGATTGTTATGAGTGGGTAGGTAGAAAAACGGTCGAAGTTGAAACTAGTAATGTTAGGCTAGGTTTGTATGGTTAGAATTAGTTTTGTTTAGTATTACTAGGTAGTTATACTAATAACTCAAATATCTAAAATAAAATTTTTTTAAGGGTTATTTAAAATTTGCTATGCATGGGTAGGTAAAGCTCGGGTTTCAAGGCCAAGGTTAAACTAGTAATGTTGGCAAGGTTTGTATGGTCAGAATTAGTTTTGTTCAGAGGAGATAAATTTGGAAACATTATTTAGTATTACTTGGTAGTTATCGCAGAGTAAGGAGGTATCAAATTTTTTGTTTACCGCGTGATCACATACTGATATGAAACAAGATTCTGCAAATCGTCTCTGAATAGTGTTCCGTTCATGGTAGAGAATACTGGCATTATAAAAGTTAAAGAAGTGTTTGAAATTTTTGATGTGTTCTGTTATCATAGTTTGGTTTTGGTTAGGGTTTTTCGAATTATTGTCGTGTTGTTTGAGTCTTTTTATTAAATTTTGTCCGTTTTCACTTATGTAAGTAGAAGGGCAATCATTGCAATTTATTTTGTAGACAATATTGAACGTACGTTCTATACTAGTGGGAGATTTCAGGTTTGTGTAGAGAGATTTAAGATTTAGATCTATGTTGCAAGTTAGTCTGATGTCTACCTTATGAAAAAGTTTTTTCCACACTGGAAAAAGTTCTTTTATGTAAGGTAAACAAACGTTGCCTGTGTAGTTATTGTCTTTAGATTTTTTTTCCGGGGATAAAGAAGAATGCATACTGTTGAGGATATGAGTTGTTAATTAAAGTCGTGCGGATGAGGGATAAGTTAGAGGGCCAAAATTGTTTGTCTGAGAGTAGGATGGCATGGTCGACTAAATTAATAATAGTGCCTATCTTCATGCTAGAAGGATGGTAATAATGATAATTTAAATACCTACCCGACCAAGTAGGTTTTTGGAACCAATTAGTGATAATTCGATTGTCTGTGGTTTTTATAATTTTTACGTCTAAAAAGCTGATAGAATTTTCTTGTTCTTTTTCAAACGTAAAGGAGAGATGCTCATTAAATGAGTTAAAACTATGAAGTAAGAGTTCGAAATTTTTAACAGGAACACAGGTAAGGATGTCATCAATGTATCTGTAATAAAAATGAAGGTCTAAATTGTAGGAATTAAAAACTTTCAACTCTAAGTGTTGTAAAGCAATTTCTGCGAGTGACGGGGATATAGGAGAACCCATAGGTGTGCCAAATATTTGAAGGTAAAAATGGTCGTTGAATTCGAAATAAGTATTCGAAACTATGAATTTTATGGACTCGAGAAACCAATGCAGTGATAACGTTGTATGACATGAGATTTCGTCCCATCTAGCAGTGATGGCATCTAAAATTAATTGTAGGGGGACGTTTGTGAATAGGGATACTACGTCAAGACTAACCAATAAGGAATTATCAGGAATAACGGAATCGCGGAGATTGTTGACAAGTTCAAAAGAGTTTTTTGTAAAGAAACGAGACTTGACTGTGACTGAAGAGAGTATGTTGCTTAGGTATTTGGAGAATTTTGAAAGAGGTGAGTTCAGGTCAGCCACGATAGGTCTGAGAGGAACGTTGTGTTTATGTATTTTAGGAAGTCCGTAGAGTTTGGGGTTGTAAGGGTGAAGGTTTTTAATTGTCAGTGAGATTTGTGGAGTAATTTGTTTGTTAGAGACTAAGTTGTTTACAAATTTATGAAAAGTACGGTTAATTCGGTCAGTGGGATCGGAGTTAATGGGAGAATATGTTTTTGTGTCTGAAATTAATTCGGAGACTTTTTCTAGGTACGTGGTTTTTTCCAAAATGACTGTGATGTTCCCCTTGTCGGCCCTCGTAATTAAAATGTTAGGGTTTTCTTTAATAAAAAGTTTGCAAGTTTTAACGAATGGATTCAAATTCAGAGAAGCTCTCCAGGATCTCGGTTTCAATGGGTTTCGGTAATTTTGGCCCTCTAACTTATCCCTCATCCGCACAACTTTAATTAACAACTCATATCCACCGCACCTCATTAACTCCGTCACCTCCAACAGACTTAAAACCCTCAACAGTATGCATTCTTCTTTATCCCCGGAAAAAAATTCTAAAGACAATAACTATACAGGCAACGTTTGTTTACCTTACATAAAAGAACTTTTTCCAGTGTGGAAAAAACTTTTTCATAAGGTAGACATCAGACTAACTTGCAACATAGATCTAAATCTTAAATCTCTCTACACAAACCTGAAATCTCCCACTAGTATAGAACGTACGTTCAATATTGTCTACAAAATAAATTGCAATGATTGCCCTTCTACTTACATAGGTGAAACCGGACAAAATTTAATAAAAAGACTCAAACAACACGACAATAATTCGAAAAACCCTAACCAAAACCAAACTTTGATAACAGAACACATCAAAAATTTCAAACACTTCTTTAACTTTTATAATGCCAGTATTCTCTACCATGAACGGAACACAATTCAGAGACGTTTTGCAGAATCTTGTTTCATATCAGTATGTGATCACGCGGTAAACGAAAGATTTGATACCTCCTTACTCTGCGATAACTACCAAGTAATACTAAATAATGTTTCCAAATTTATCTCCTATGAACAAAACTAATTCTGACCATACAAACCTTGCCAACATTACTAGTTTAACTTCGGCCTTGAAACCCGAGCTTTACCTACCCATGCATAGCAAATTTTAAATAACCCTTAAAAAATTTTTATTTTAGATATTTGAGTTATTAGTATAACTACCTAGTAATACTAAATAATGTTCCCAATTTTTTTCTCCTCTAAACAAAACTAATTCTAACCATACAAACCTAGCCTAACATTACTAGTTTCAACTTCGACCGTTTTTCTACCTACCCACTCATAACAATCCTTGAATGACCCTTAAAAATCTTTCAAAACACGTGTTTCGCTCACACAAGCCTCGGAACGCGCAAAGTACAGAAGTCGTGGCAGAAATTACATAATTCTACTTACATTTTTGTTTGGAATTGAAAAAAAAAAAAACAAGTGCATGTCAGATTGAATTTTACGGTTTATTAAAATTGCATGAAAATCTTACAAAAGAGTACAGATAATTAAATAATTGCTTACAATAAACCATACATAATCGAGACTCTAACGTGCGTTTGTGGAATCAAAAAAATGTCTTACATTTCAATCAAGATATAGAAGCGAATATGGAATCGGACAGTAAACCATCAGAAATCCCAAAACTACGAAAGACCGTTATTGGATCCAGCAAATACAGCAAGATACCTCGCGAAGAAGGTCGGACCAATATGTTTACATCGGAAAAGATCTCGCTGCGTTCAACTTCATCAGTTACTGACTCAAGACAGGAAGTAATATCATCTAGTAATAATGCATCTACAAGCCTCACTCAAGCACATTCTGATGTCAAGAAACCTCCTAATTCATGGCAAGTAGTCAATTTCGAAAAAAGAAAAACTTCATTTGAACCATTAGGAATAGATGTCAAAATTCAAAACAGATTTTCGGCCCTTTCAACAATA